TTTAATTGAACATGACTGATTTTCAATACATAAAGAGAGTATCGCTAATTGACCTTTTATGACACATATTCTGATAATCATTTGATTAAAGGAGGATACAATCAAGATATCAAGCCTGATCCATCAACAGCCCACTGGGCATATACAATAATGTCCTAGAAATCACTATGATGCATTCCCCTTTTTTTCTTTGACTGCCCCATGATCCCCAGTTTCACCTTCAATTTTTATCAGGAAATTTGAGGTTAAATCGACAAATGATCAAATCCACTATGCCACTAGAGCCATTCAACTTTATCAACATCGTAATTGACGTTAAGTTTCTTGCTTCTACAGATATTTTTTAGTGTCAATTTTTACACAAAAAATGTGAAAAATGAATAAAAAGACACCATAATAATAATAATATATTTAAATATGAGCCTTTGTGGAAAAAGTATGGGAGGAACTTTGTTTTATTGTGTTCTGGTTTATAAATGATAAGAACATTCACAGCTTTGTTCCCAGGGTACGCTCATAAGGTCTCAATCATTGTTTCTTACTATTTTTGAACAAGATATTTTTAATTTTGTTTTGTTTTTGTATTCACACTATATAACTTTTGATAATAGTGTATTACTTCAATGGTTTGGTTTTGACAATAGCGCAAAGTCATGAACAATCATAATTGACAAGAAACCTCTACTTGAACCCAGTTTAGCTTAATTAGTATTCTATATGCTACAAGCCAGGGGATGAGTGTTCCATTCTTTACGAGGTAAGAAACCACTTTAAGTTTAACAGGGGTATTAATGGACAATAATCTCGAACTTGTATTTTTTTATATGTTTACATTTTTTTTTTGGTGTCAATGAAATTTAAACTACTAACATCACATGCATACGACCATCCTATTATACTATACGTCCTTCAACATGGAATATGCTCTTGAACCACTGCAAGTTATAACAGTAATGAATATGATTATTTTCCCCACCCACAGAATCAGTCAAAGACAGCTACAGTTGTACTCGTGCTAATTTGCTTAAACTTCCATCCCAAAATAATTACACAGGAACTGTTGTTACCGTGTACAAAATTTGGAAATAAGTGACACGAATAATTTGCAGATGAGTAACATACACTGACACTTTGTACTACCAATCTTGAAAGAATTAAATTTCTTTATTTTATTCACAGATTATAGAACCGCCAAAAGAAAGCGAGGGAGACTATGACTCTCAATGTTTGACCTTTCGGATCATCTTTGAGGGTGAGAACACAGCCAACCCCTATGGAAACTTCCATCAGGAGCTCAGGAAAGGGCACTCTATTGTTTGCTGTTGCCACAATTTCTTTGGGAGGGGTGGAGAGGTGCCATAATTGCAGGGGGTAATTCTCTATAAACCCAAATACACATAAATTTACTGACTGCTATGGCTACAAATTTTGTAAATTTTTTAATTCTAAAATGTTAATTGTAATTTTAATTTTTTTTTCTTTATGATCTTTTTAGGAACAAATTTTATCGTAATTTATTTTGTTTGTCTTCAATTTTTCATTGTTCATGAGCGTGTGGTCTTTTGTGATAGTATCTTTGAAATTTTTATATTGAATACTTTTTGCATGATTATGTACTGTGTTGTGCTTAGTTTTGTGAATGGTGTTTGTCTTTGCTTAATTTTGTTAATACTTAGTTCATACTGCAATGTCAATTTTTGTTGTTTTTAATAATAAACCAGAATGTGAAAATTTACATTTGTAGCAGACGATGTGCAGAAATCTACTGCCAGAAACCCGAAGTTATGGCGTCTGTAGATGGCAAATAATTAAGTATGAAACTGTGTAGAAACATCTTTGTTTTTTAATAACTATTCCATGTACCTAGCTAATGTCAATTATGAACATGGACTATATTTATGTGACCTTACTGTAAAATAAAACCTACTGGCTACATTTTCATTGGTAAATAAGAAGCTAGTCTTAAAGAGATTTTCTAAAAGAAACTGGCAACAATCCAGAGAGTTGTAAAAATGTCTCCTTGCTAGATTGCACATACAGAAATAGGCCCTATGTATAAAATTCAGTCACATATGGATTTCAAAAGACAGGCTGTGAGATCACTCCCCATGGGCTTGAACCAGAACTAACAGGCTACAACACATTGACATATCTTTAGACACAGGCTCAGAGGCATTCAAAACATTATGTTTGACTGTCTATAATGAATACCGTACCTCAATTCAATTCTCAAATACTTTTCAATATTAAAGTAAGCACTAAACAACAACATGATATTTAGAACAAAATTTTTTTTTTAATAATTAATTGGAAAATCTGTAGAAGCTGGGACCTTGTACTGATCCTGAAGAATCAAGACATTCAACAAAAAAACAGAAGAGAAACTGAACATCATGAGAGGGCTTTAAAAAGAACATCACTCAACAAAATTAAAGAGGTTTTACAGTTATTAAACAGCAAGGTTTACCAAAACTAAGATGGTTTCAGTTGATCTCAGAACCTATAAAAATCAGGGGCAAGCATAAAAATTGGTCGGAAGGCCATAGTTAATTGTTTATTTAACACTGAGGGCCAAACCCAAAATTTGATGTTTCCAGTGTGCTGTTTTTTTATACAACTATATTCCCATTTTTAATATTACTCTTTACAGATGATCGGTGTTGGGTCGTAAAAGACAAGGTCTTTTCTAGCCAAAGATGAATGGCGGGCTGCACACATGGGGTTTTTAATTCATTTTTGCGGGTTGCAAAACAATCACTTTCGCGGCCCGCAGACTGCACTTTGCCCACAAAATGTGATATAAATTAATAAATGCTATAGTGTATTTATCATTTTTATGGCGCCTATTTTATTTGAGAGTGGCGCTTAACAGTGGTGGCATCAAGATATGCATAACAAGGGGGTATAGTTCTGAGAGAGTAATGGCACTTCCCTTTAAGGCCCATGCGACCAGCAGCGAAGTAATGGTAGATGTCTTAGTGCCTAGAAAAACTGGTTAATTTCAGTCTATATTATTATACCAAAATAAATAAAAAATTAAAAAATGTTTTTCTTTTCTGGTCTACAACAAGTTTTATCCAATGCATAAAAAATTTGGTGTGGCATTTATTCTAGAGCCTCACTTATTCAAGTGGGATGCTTATTATATCATAATTTACGCTAGTCACAAAATATAAAATACCCTAAAAAATTCAATTAAATATTATTGAATATATTTTGAAAGATAAACAGAAAGATACTATTTTTTATAAGAAATCTTATGTAGGTCATTCCTTTCCCTGGAATTTATATTAATAATATTGTACATTAGCTTTCGTAAAATTATGATTTCCTATGCCTTCGTCAAAACCAGAATACTTTAGAATACTATTCCAATGTTTTATTTATTTTTTTTACACACTGATGATGAAATTTGGTACATTTTTAGAATACCCTGATATAATAAAGTTGAGTAAAAAATTATAAATGTGGTGTGGTGAACAGGAACTCTTGAAATTTTAAACAAGCTCCTACTGATACAGACAGTTTAGTAAGTTTTAAAACTAATTAAAATAAATCGATTCCTAGCCAAGGCCTATATCTGTTTATTGCTTTAGGGGTCATTCACAATTTATCAACATTTTCATAAGTATACAAACAGTATGTTAGCAGAGAAGGGGTAGACAAATTTGTACACTTTTACATGCATAAAATGTTCAATTCAAAATAACATGCACTATTTAAATGATTTTTATGACCAATTATAATGCAACCATAGATACCTTTAATATACATTTTAAAATAACCAATTTACAGTAGTATTTACAGTACAGTATTCATAGTTGACTTCACAAAAAAACGAGGAGGAAAAAGAATAATGTTTGTACACTTGCAAAAATATTGATAAATTTGTCAACCACCACTCAGGAAAATTTTGTTCTTGTTCTCACTTCCAATAAATTACCGTACTTAAATACCAATACAAAGTAAGCAACTCATTTATTTAAATAAATAATTTTTTTTTAGTTCTTGAAACATCTGTCAAATCAAAAAATCTGGGTTGTCACACTGTGTAATGTTGCATTTTAGTTTGGGATATGTAGAACTATTTTTCACATAATAATGACCTGGTTAGAGAGGAAAGAAGACTAGAGTAATTAATTTCACATTGGGGATGGATAATTATCCATATTTTATTCTGTATTCTTTCACTGCAGTTATTAATTGAAAATTTCCCTCCTGACCTGTAAACAAAAATATTTAAGCAGAAAAAGAGCAAGAATTAATATAAGAATACTACACAATGAAATCACTCAAGCAAAAAGAAAATAAACATAGCAAGCTTCTAAATCTGAGCATTTCTAAGCATCTACAAACACATAATCCCAGGTGTAATTCAACTCACAAAGCAACCTTCATTCAATATACTTTTACCCAATGAGATGCTACAAATTTTGACATTGTCACAATGTTGGCTTACTAGCTTACTAGTACAATACGCTTTCACTTTCCTCGAAAACCAAACAGATTAAATAAAAAAGAATAAACCAGTGTATAAACAAAGATGATAAACACAGGACTACAGTATTCATAAGATATATGTAATAAAATATCAATAAAAAATGTTTTTAATGAAATTAAGAACATTTACTGTAAGGAATTATAGGCCCTTATTTGTTTTTTGGGTTGAGTAATTCTCTTTAAAACAATCATAAATAAATACCAATGGGATTCACATCTGAAATATGATTGACACACATTTGGATGACCATATTTAAAAAATATTAAGACCAATGCCACGATTGGGCATCAGGCTAGACCGCGTGTCTGTGACTTATGTATACGTGGCATACGACATGTTTAGCATCGACATTCGACTCATTTGAGTGTGACACTGAAAACTGTGTAGTACCATTGACAACTTTTATAAACAAAACAGCACATGTTTTAGTGAGTATAGAACACGTAGCTGTATAGTTTTATTAAAACTAATTATAAATAAAACGATGTAATGTTAATACCTTATAGTATGCGAACTGTAAATAACTGTATGGAATTTTTCCCAAAAACTTTTCTGTAACCTCTTGATTCAACGTCTCGGGTCGATTTCCAAGATTTTGAAACTTACATCTGCGTAGACAGTCCGCTTGGAAGAACACACTTTCAAAGAAAGTTAGCTCAGTCAATTCATTAGAATTTGGAAAGGAAACTTTTGAAACATTGTTGCACTTAATACGACAAGATGTCAACTGGTTGCGATAGAATTTGAATTCTGTGATAGCGTTTTCAAGGAAGGTTATGGTATCCTTCCAATTCTCACTTGAATAGGCTTTCATACCCTCTTGGTACAACTCGTCGTAAGTCTTTTCTGAAGCTAGAAACGATCGAAGTTCTGTACTACCTGGTGTAGCCATGTAATACGAAATTATAACAGTGCAAAATATAGAAACTGAAGATATAAATTGAGCCATGATTATCTGTAAACAGTGTCCCACTCTTCTCATCTGCGTCTGCTGACCAACCCTCTGTACAATAATCCCGATAATCTTCAAACAAACTATGCCTAGGCCCACACTCAGGATAGTTCTCGGCCCACAATGTACTGTGTCGCGTGTAGATTTATTGACCATTCAATGCATGGGAAGCAAACGTACTACTGGTGGCGCTATATATAAACTATAAACTTTTAAGTCGGACTTAAGCAGCCTAGGGCCTACCAGTCTAGCAATTTTGGCGTGAGACTCACGCATAATGCGTCGCATTCGGAGTGTATCTCACGCTTTCGCACAAAAAGCGCACCCATAAAATGTAATATTGCCTACATTAAAAATAGGCCTATGTGGACTGTAGGCCTATATTATTTTAGAAACATACCTTCATCATCTACATTAGACTTAAAGATATACTGCCAACTAAAAAATCGGGGGAAAAAAACCTAGCCTAAGTTGCATTTTTTAAAATACCAGAGCTCATTTGAAAGTACTGTATCAAATAATTTTTTTGCTGATATAGAGAATTTTTTTCTACATTCCTTAGATTGATTACCAGCCAATAAATGTAGGATTTACATTTCAACTGACAGGGAAAATTTGTTCTCATTCAGATTTTTAATTTTAATTATTTTACGTAGTTAATTTTTTGTATTTGTATTTTGTTAATTTTTTGTTAATTGTATTATTAGTTCTTAACAGTGCAATGCAAACAGTATCTCATGTCAGTGCAAATTCTCCTAACTTGAAACCTTAAGTAAGTCAAGTCTTAGTTGGCTAAAAACATTCTTATTTCGAATCTTTCTCAAAGCTTTGCAATACATGATTTCGAAACCTAAAAGCAACATCTTACATAGGCAGAGGAATATTTTGATGAGACAAATATTGTTAGTATTGAAATTATATAATACCTTTTAATTGGTCCATTTAGGATATGAGTTGTTACCATCTGAGTCGCAGAGTGAAGAAGACGAGGACCAAGAAGGCAATTGGTGTCCCTGCCCCAGGGCTCACCTGCATCAGCTGAAATTAAATTCTAGGAATGAAAGTCAACTGAATTCAGGTAAGAGTGTAATTCTACTTCAGGTACAATAAAGTTTTGAAACAGTCAAGATAATATCTGAGTATAAATCCAACTCCAAAGTAGGCGTAAGACGCAATAATAATTTCATACCGGTAGATTATCATCAGAAAATAATATACAGTAAGTTCAATTTATTATATCCCTTAGAGTTACAGAAACCTAGTAATGAAAACAACAAAATAGTAGGTGTCACATGATTCGACCGATGAAGGCGTTTACCTTTTTTTTAGATAAATAACAAGATGATTCGGCGATGAATCAGGATGCCTGTACTAAGTAGTATAAAGATAGTCAAACAAAACTAAAAAAAAAACAAAAAAAAACTTATGGTCGGGGCATTAAACAGGGTGTAGGTCATAATCTTACAGTACACTATTTGCGGAAAAAAATATATAACGTGAGGTCTACTTACAAAGAATATTGAAATTGCTCATTATTGCATCCTTGTTTCTCTAACAACCTTCAATTGTTATTAATTTGATGGTTAGTGGCGATAATGGTTACAGGAAGGGGGATCTTTCCTCCATAAATAGCATGAAATAATATTTAAAAATCTCAGGGTTTACAAATTGTGCCTTATATACACTTATTATTATTATTATTATTATTATTATTATTATTATTATTATTATTATTATTATTATTATTCTTATTATTATTATTATTATTATTATTATTATTATTATTATTATTATTATTATTATTATTATTATTATTATTATTATTATTGGCTTTTTCCAGCAGCAGCAGTACCGGGAAAAGCCATTGTTTTTGTTCCGATTTTTTTTCGCTTTTTACTTGCTATCTTTTTGCAGTTTTTATTCTGGCCGTCACTTTGGTCACTTCCCATGCTTGGAATTTTTCCGTGCTTTGCCGAAGCATATATATAGGATGTGCCTCCTAATATTTAGTGTCAATCTATGGTGGGTGTGCGTGTGAGGACCATTTGAAGTGATTTAAGGTCAAACAGTCTACACCGGATATTTCAAAAATCGGTCTTGATCTGAATGAAACTTTCGGGAAAGTTTAATCAAGTTACATACAAGGAAGACATTTTAGGTGTTAGTGACGATCCCGTGAAGGGTGTAAATTTTAGGGTCTTTTCAATTTAAGGGCGAAGATCTGTTTTGAAAGGTGGAGGGGAAGGACATTCTGTGAGTCGACACCCACCTCAGACTCAACATGATTGGAGCTGAGGTGTGAAAATGTGAGGAAATATTAGATGGCCAGAAACGACACTTTTTGTAAAATTCATTATCATCACATCACCAAATGAAGCGCAAAAAAAATTCTCATGGTCTCTTATCAGGGATTTTCGGCAACCATAGAGACTCTTACAAATGTGTGTGATATACCATAGAAAACAAAGCTTAAAAACATTGTCTTTGAGTACGTACTTGACATACTTAGAAACCGTGACTTCACAACCACCTCAGTCCCACCATGGTTGGGGCTGAGGTGAGAAAATTTGAAGAAATAGTACCTCTGGATGGCCAACAAATTTCTCATGGCAGTGTACTTTTATCAGGGATCTACTTAAGATTCAGGCCAACTTGGCCTAGCTATAATTTACTAAGCTTTACTTACTATATGTTTTTGTTTTTATTTTGGGGCAGCAGAGAAGGCTTCATATCCATCAGGTTACCATTTTTTCATAATTTTGGTGTGTTATTGATTTTTCATCTGTTTTCAGGGCAGATGAATTTGTCCTGTCTCTCTTTATGGTTGCTCTTCCAACTCTCTTTCCATCAGTATTTTGGATTCTCTTATATGAAGAAACTAACTCTCACACTTTTTTTTTTTTTTTTTTTTTTTTTTTTTCGTGCTACTGGTATTTTATTTATGTTGCCTGATATTTTCGTCTTGCATCTGTCTCGATCTTATTTTATTATTATTGCACATTTGTTGAAAGTGTGACACACTACAATATTATGCGCTATACAAATAACCATCAGAGGATTTGTAAACTAAATTGTTTTTGTTTTGTTGAACATATTAAATTGATATGAATTTGTTATGTATTTCGAGAATTTATATTGTTGAAATAAAAAAAAAAAACGAAATGTGTAAACATTCTTCAAGAGGTCTAACAAGAAATCATATATCCACTGATCTTCTTTCATATAAACAGTTATTTATTCAAAATTCTATCAAATTCTCTAACTTACAACTTGATCAAACACTACCGTAATACTTCATTTACACATGGTTCCTAAAAAACATAGCAGTAGAAATAATAATAATAGTGATCATAACAATTATTCATTACAATAAGTATTATTATCAATAATAATGTAAAATTAATAATAGAAATACTGGTCATGATAATAAAACAAGGGGAAATGCCTATGGTGCTTAACAACTTAAGAGCTAGTAGCATGAGGTAAACTTATATTCAACTGTACAAAATATAATACAAGAAAAAGATACAGACAACAGGAGAAACCAAAACATGATTATGACTCAACCCTTGATGGTGCTTCTGGTATTCAAAACACAAATAAAAATAATTATGGTCAATAAAAAAATTGTCAATACCATCTAGAAATAACATCAGCATTATTGTGGAAAACATTTCATGAAATCTCATTTGCATAATTATCGTAAATTTAATCATAACATACAAACATATCAGGAAATGGAAACTATGGGTTGATGATAACAATAATTATTACCATTGTTACTTGACCTTGTGTTTTAAAGTTATTGACTGGGAAAACCGTAAAATGTTAGTTCAAATGGACACCATACACACCTATGAATGCTAAAATTTTCAGCAGAAATTTCTAAGAAAATAAACATTCAGATTTTAAGAAGTTGAGCATTATTAGTTTGCCATTCTGTAAACATTAGGCTGGGAGCAGTATTAGAGTTTAAGCTCAGTGACAAAAAAGAATTAATTTGAAAAAGAGTGACAGCGATATTTGTGCCCCTATCAACTTAGATGACAGAAACCCACAAAAAAGTCATTTGAAAAAAATGGAGCAATATTTTGGCAAGATTCCCTATGGCAAATCATTACATAACTTTAAAATAAAATCCACTTTAAACTGAATGGTGGGCCATTATTGATATTTAAATTTTACAAAATTTGGTCATTTTTGAACTTTTGGTCTGTTTTATTGTTTATAGGAACAAAGGGAACAACAATGTTGGAAACTAAATTTTGTTTTAAACAAAACCTAAAATTAATAATAATCAGCATTTAACATACTTGGATTTATATTACTTGGGAATAAAATTGTAATCTTTGTCCCCAAAAGTGTTCACATCCTTCCCCGAAAAATCATTTCGCTGTAATCTATCATGTTTTTGTAAACATCTTTTCCCCCTTAAACAACCTGTGCATGTTTAAACGATTTTACCGTTAATTTCAAAAGTTCTTTCTTACCAGTTTGCAGCGCTTAAACATCTTATTCAAAAAATAACCTATATAAAGAAAAAAATAAATTAAAAAAAACTTGTAGGATACATGCTGGAGGATAGTCATCAATGTAATGTGGAAATGTACAGATATATTTACAGTTAGCTATTTACATGCTATTAAGCAACTTTTTCAAAATATAATGATCATATGATCCTCTGGCTTCACAGCCCATGTATGAATACAAAACTATTTTTGTCTGTCAAGAAAAATAACTTTTTACTGTTCCTCAATTTTAACAAATTTTAAATAGAGGCACACCCATTAATTTGAAAAATGGGATTTTGTTTTAGAAAAGGACAGTAACAAATTGGGGATAAGTGCCCTTGTTTAACCCACCCAGAATTTTGATCTATCACTGACAGTTCCAAAGATAAATGCCATTTGAATCAATTATTCAGAAAGTTTCATTGAAATTTTTTTTCCAAAATTGGAAATTTTGACTCAAACTGGGGGAACCTGCCCTGTTCATGTCTCCCCTTTCTTGATCTATCAGTAACAGAGAAAATAACATTTTAGTAAATTATTCATATTATCTAATTAAAAGTAATAAATCATTGATATAATCATTATACTTTTTTAGAAGCTTTTCATTGTCTTTTGTAGTATATGTCAAAGTTGGTTTATACAGTATATATTAAAGATTTTTTATTCATAACAAACATAAGATTACTACATATACAAAACAACAACTTGACAAACTAATTTTAAAATATGCCAAACCCCTAAATTGGCAGTAATACTGACAAAGAAATTTTGATATTGTGACACACAAAAAACAGTGCCATCATGCATGTGCTTTATGGAGCGCAAACTCTTCCCTCGACTCCCCACCTTTGTGTAAATAAAAAAATATGCCATCATATACTTTCACAAAATCAAGATTTAACTCTGTATATCAATGAAAAATCATCAAACCTCAGATACAAACGCTGACTGAAATCAGTTCTATTTTTTTTTTTTTTTGTATTTTAAAACAAATGATGATCGAGTGAAATACATTTATCCTGCTAATATAAAAATCATTTTGAAGTAATAAATTCTGTTTGTATAAAAATTCAAAAACCTCAAATTATCCAATTTAATAACATATGATTCAACGGTGTCTTAATAAAAACAAAATGTATTTATTGCATACTAGTAAACCTCTTTAGGGGTGTTCAAGTGATTATGATAATTCATCTTCCTTGCAAAAAACTTAAAGAGGGCATTATCTGTACTGGATTTAACTCGGGTAAACTTAAAATACAAAGAGTATTCCATTGCATATTAACACATCATAGTTTGAAAATTTGATTGGGATGTTATAGACAGAGCACAATCTGTATGTTAAATGTTTAAAAGAGTTCACTAAATTCAATTTGTGAATGTGATATTCCCTTGAATTAAATATAGATTAAAGCTTTTACTAATAAAATAATAAAAATAAAAACTTTAGAACACATGCAGCAAAATATCACAATTTTCAAAAATAAGTTAAACAAATAATAAATATGTATAACAAAATAATAAATAATATTTGTATCATCATTTTAAAAGAATCCTTAGATAAAATTAAATGACTGTTTTTGTTTATCAAACAATGAGCTGTAGTCAAGAGATATGTTTAACTTTCGAAATTCATTGATTAGTATCCTATTCTGTGACAATAATCATTATCAACCGTTATGAACATCTTAAAAATTGTTTTGATTAATTAATTGGGTAAAATTAGTATCAAGGGATCCTACAGGATTTGGAATGGTCACTTGATTCACAAAATGTTTCAGGAATGTTTATGAAGATGATATTTCCATCCACACAATAGAGGGCGGTATGATAACTAGGTAGCTACAATCGGTCTCGTACACATGGTAAACCTTTTGTTATTAGTTTTAATTTTAAGGATTTAAGCACATTTAAAAATGTTTAAAACTCTGTCTACACTTACTATCAGATTTTATGTGACAAATAAATGTGATATGCCCATACTTGGATGTAATATGATATCATCATGCCCATATATGGGTAAATCACACAAATTTCTCTCATAAAATTTGTTAGTGTGGAGAGATCTTTAGGCCTTGGGACATTCAATTCGTCCCACTCGTCAGCAGCTGTGATATCCAAAATTGAGTATTAAAGCCAAAGTCAATTATGCAAACATTGTGAATCATCCCCCATTATTGCTATAAAAAAAGTTTTTATCTGGTTCACATAATTCATAAAAACTTTAAATTTATCAACTTTACTGATTATTGCAATTTTATGTATTACTTTCCTAACTACTAAAGTTGCTACTGTGAGCATGATTCATACCACAGCCCTACCTGCAATGACAGTTTCAATAAAAATCATATTTCCGATAATTTACGAAATCTTTTAACATCTGCAGTTAGTCTGGAATTCCAAGTAAACGTTTAGTAAAGTGGGTTTGTCTGTAGACTGTCACCTAAATTATGTTACAGGAAATGTCTTTATGAACAGAAAATTTAAATGATAAATTAACTACAAATAATCTAATACAAATGAATACAGATATATTTTTAATACTATGCACACATAAGGTCTACTTAGAGAATGACACATGTTAACAAAAGTTACTGGCAGTGAAACATGTGAAAAAAAACCCCCATTACATTAGTGAATCCATGCTCTTCATTATCACCCAGAACAGCATGCCCTAAAAACCAGCAACAAAAATGTTCCAACATATGTATAATCCTTCATCAAAAATATATTTGTACTATCTATCATTATAACCCTATCTATTGATCAATCTGATTCACTCACAGTACATAATTATATATCACATACATAGATCCTATGCATTTAAAAAAAAAAAAAGGGAAAAAAAAGGGAATAATTTGAGTATTTTTACAATTGAATTATGTCAGTTTTGTTAATATTTGACAATAGAAACAGGTTCATTCTAAGCCTTTACAATAGATCTAGGCCTATGCTAGTAGAGACATGCTAGTGCAGGCCTAAACTAAAAGGCTAGCATAGTGACATCTGTGCGTGTGGTATATAAACCAAATATTGACTGCTTTTCAACAAATATTGACTCCAACACAAGGCAGAGTTCAGTCATGAAATCACCTTCGGTCTATAGTTTGAATCATACCCTTTAGCAGGCAATATTTTATATATCACTTGTAACCAACAGTCAGAAATATTGGTCAGTTATTTCAAGATCGTCAGTATCCATGTAGTGTGAATATATATTGTACAAATACAAAAAATGACTTTGATTGTATTTGTAATTTAGAGCGAGACTGCTGTGGTTTTTCTCACCATATTTGCCAAACCTTTATATGCATGCAAATGTTTTTCGGGAAACTGGTGAAAACCACTAGGACTCACGTAGTGCTATCCGGTGCACAAGTTGAAACGTTTTTAAGAATGTTTTGAATTCCATTACGGGGCGGCTTGGGACCTGGTTCAGGAGTGTATGTGAAGGTTAGGCCAGTTGGGTAGATGATTCCATCTGTTCTGACGAGCGACACCGGTACCTGAGTTGGTTGACGAACCCACCGCCACCCGCCACGAAATGCAGAGATATCTGGCACAACACATAGCATATACTCAGTCGACCTATATGTAGTTAAAGTTTGGAAGATAAAAAAGATAAAAAATATTTTATTAAAATATCAAACAATGATACTGCATTTAACAGCTTAATTGATTTTCTCAAATGCTTGTGACAGTACAGGTTTTTGTAGGAGCACCCCGCTCAGAAATTTTTGCCAAACATCATTATCAACACACATAAATTTTTTGCCTGTAAATAAGAACAAAGCGTTCCTATTGGACGATTGTTTGCTATGAATAAAAACAAAATCGTTATTACATACCTGAACATTGTTTCTGCTTCGACATCCCCAAACCATACTTTCAGGCTAGGATTAAAATTCTCTCCAATAAGCTCTAGCATGGCAACATCCCCACCACCATTTAACTGCAGCTCTGTGACGAATGGTACAGGACTAACGGATGCTTTAACAGGTCCCATTCCCTCAAAGAAGCTATACTCTGCCTTATCTGTGCTGATGATCGTCCATGACGCTCCATCGTTGATCATCTCTCGACTTGTATCTCGTGAGCAAGGCGTGGCCTAAAAAATAGATATTCAGTAATTAATAAATTAATAGTAATGGAGAGCAATTAATAATTGTGTGATCACAAAAGTAATCAGCAGAACTATTTGGCTAAACAAGTTTTTCATTCTCCTCTGAAGACTTTAAATTTTCTTTGACAAGGAACTATTAAATGCCCATATATAGTTATTGAAGTGCCTATATATGGGCATGATGTGATGTCATATGACCATATTTTTTCCAAAAAAAAAATGATAAGACTGGACAGGGCTTAAAAAATATATATTTTGCTAAACAATGTATTAAAAATTATCTTTTTTAGTTTAATTTTAGGTTTGATGCAAGATACAAGACAACTTTATTGTTGTAATGCATAACAAGATACATACAAAATTTGGTTGCAGTTGCTAATAAACAAACTTATACAGGAATGGAATGATAATCTGTTTAAATATGAGTCAACCAATTAATATAACTGCAAGGTATAAGACAGCCCCTTTTTAATGTAATAAACAACACCAAACCTGGAATTGAATGATCCGTTCTTGGGACAAACAGAGGTACATCCTCTCGGTATCCTTCATATAGAAAGCACACTTATGGAGTTGCGACACGGGGTCATCAGCATCTAAAACAGCCATCTGTTTCTCAACCTTACGGATAATCTGCAAATTATGAACAAACATCAAATGAAATAAAATAAAGGAACATCATGATGAAAATTTTGGTTGGTTTTTACATAATGGTGTCTGTGTTCATTAGTTGATTTGATCATGATCATTGGTATCATGACGGTAAATTTGTGGTACAAATGTGGTAGCTGAATGATACCAAGATGGTTACCAATTAAGGAAACATATGGTAGCTCATTGGTATCACGATAGTAGATGTGTGGTACAAATACGGTAGCTGATTGATACCAAGATTGTTACCAATTAGGAAACATATAGTAGCTCATTGGTATCATGATGGTAGATGTGTGGTACAAATATGGCAGCTGATTGATACCAAGATTGTTATCATTTAGGAAACATAATTTTGGCTGATAAAATGCCAGAAACCAGCATAAGAATGTTGTGAATACTTACCAGTCTTGGTAGTGCCATACCAGTGATGGTATCAACAAGCTTGATAGTGGACCCATAGTGAATGTACCCATCACGCACTGTAAACTCCTCACTTTCAGATTCATCATCATCCACTGAAACAAAACATAACAAGATTAATACAGGTTGGCACAGGAGAGCTAAAAATGTGTTTATTCAATGTATATTAGTTCAAACTTGAGATTTTTGATTTGTCAAATTCTTTATAAGAATTTGAAGTGAATTTGAGACAAAATCACACAGGCTTCTCAAAATCTGGCTGATTTGGGGTGGAATTACCTAACAGCTTTTACTGGTATGCCATGTGCCTCCACATAGTAAACTCTTAGTAACACCACATAGTTTATTTATTTTATTTTATTTGCTCAATATTCTACAGCAGCAAAAGTTGCCAATTACATAATTGAATTGAAACAATAAACAATATTAATATATTGTAGAACTGTTTAATCAATAATAAATCGAGCACAATTTGATGTAAACTTACTGCGAGCTTTTGTCTATGTTATAAACATGACTTCGTATAAATATATATAAAAAAACGTAGTTATAAAATAAGAGTTAAAAAATTGTTAAAATCCACCAGGTTAAAAAAAAAAGTAAAAATCTATGATGGACAATTATTTTTTAAAACATTTATACAATAAATCTTAAAGCTGAAAAACTGTAGAAAAAAATATCAGTGTTCACATCAGACTGAATTAATGAATTATAAAGATTAGGTAGTTGAGTTTAAAGCCTCTTTTGGAAATATTAACCCTATTGAAAGGAACAAGAAATGTTGACTTCTAACAGAACGAAAACATTTATTTAGTCAAAGATGAACATATTTTTCTAAAACTTCATTGCATTCTCATCAAATTGTACATATACAGTATCGGGGAGGATCCACTTGGGGGTGGGGGAGCACATTCCCCTCACCCCATTTTGCCACAAAATGTTTAAAATTGCAAAGCATATCAATGTTACGTGCTATCACTTTTCTATTCTGAAACTGTTGTTCCCCCTGTTTGAAAAATTGTTGATCCGCCCATCACTATTACTACAGTATATGTATTAACTAATGATGACTGTTAATATTATACTTACACAAGTGTATTGTAAAGGCACCCCACTGCTGTGAGCTTGCATGGAAGTTATTGTTCTCTACATGGAGATACCTAGTACTGACTGTCTGTGACCTCAACCTATTGAACAGCGCCACCGTTGAGCCTGACTGGATGCACACTAAAATAATAAACAAATAGATCTTAGTACAGTGTTCAGGTGTTGACTTTTATATTAATTAATCTAAATACTTTAATCTCTTTGGAATTAACTAAACATACTTTTTAAATTAGTAGCTTTAATATAATAAATATTTTTTACTGTTTTCATATATACTGAGCCCTAACTGAGAATGACGCTATATCTAAAGATATAGATCTAAATATGTAGTAATAATTTGTAAAGTGCTTTCACCAATTCATTTTAAAGTGGTGTTATAAAAAAGAAATAAAATTATCATTATCAATTTTATTACTTACGTTCAGAATTTTTCAGTGACTGTTTTTTCTTTGATGGTTTTGATATGACTTTAATTCTTTTACTGTTGAATATACCAAGGTCGTCGCCATTACCGTAAAACATCTTTACTGACAATAAAAAGTGTTTCCTTTTGTCGGAATCTGAGATGTACAGTGTTTTTGCGGCACAATAGTCCTATTGTGAAAAAGAAAACCAGTAAGGTTAGTATTCATGTCAATCATCTTCATTGTTTATGTGAGATATATATTAACAAGATTGATATTGATTTTTTATGTAACAAATAACTGAGAAATGTGAACATTAATGCACATTTATTAGTATTTCATTCAAAATACCTGTACAATTTGAAATTTATACTTGTGAAAGCAATAAGGTGACATATTTGTATATACTGTATTGTTCAACTTACTTTGTACTTTATTTCTAATATATAAAATATTATATTGATGCTTAAATAGCGCATAATGCATAAAGCCGTATGTGTTTCATGTTTTAAAGAATATAAAGCCTGAAAGATAATGTATAAAAATAAAAAGTCAAGTTTAACAAATAAGAAATTATTGTAAATCAACAAGCACAATTATGGACTTTTTAGAAGGCTGCAAAAAAAAATTGTTCTAGGCGAAGAAAAATAATAAAAATAAAGTTATGGAAAAAAAAAAAAGTAGTACAGCAATGGTGCAATTAATCACTCGCTCCAGATCCTATCCCATGTTGAGATGAAAACAGTCATTGGATTAATTCATAATACATATTTGTGAGGAAAAAATAATGTTTTTTTTTCTTTTGTTGGAAGATTTCGGAGGCAGGAGTGATGAAATGATTTTTGGTTTGTTTTTTTTTTGCCTGAAATTCCCATTTTTAATGCAACGGTTGTATTATTAACAGGTTATCTCATTCCCACTTGAATTGGATAAAATCAAAAAATTTACCCATCATGGAACTCTAGTATGTAAGATTTAATGCTTGCGGTACACCACGTAATTAGTACTGAAAAGAACTGAGGTTTGCTAAGAATGTCTCGAAGTTTCAATTGAGTTGACTTAAATCGTCTTCAGGAGAATAATATCTGGTTATATTTCATACTATTCTCTGGAGGATGATTGAAGCAACTCAATCGAAATGTGGAGAATTTTCAACAGACAACAGTTCTTTCAAAACTATCCACGTGGAGTAACACAAGCATTAAATATATTATTAATTCGCCATGGAACCCTTTAAGCAACATTCGTTGCTTTCTATACGAAAGACTAAAATTAGTAACAGAGTCATATGGTAAAACCTAGAATTAATGAATTACATTTTAAAGCCCATCAAGGCCAAACATATTTTATTGGTTTGTTCTCACATAATTACAAATAATTTACATTAATATTCAATTGGTAAGTGTCAATATTGATCTTATTACTGTTTACCATTATTCACTATTATCGCATTACTTTTTATATTTGATTATTTTGCATCACACAAAACAACAGTACTGTATAAAAAGTAAACACATTTAGGACGAAATAATGTGCAAGCCAAGGTAGGCTTTTGTAGTACAAAAAAAATATCAAGTTGATGTACTTTTACTGGTTTTATTTCACTTTAGTTAGTTACAATGTTATATTATTTATATAAGGCATGTGAGATGTTACCTGATACAAAGTGAATATGTTCTTAATATCTAAACTATATAAACAAATAAACTTTAGAATAAAAATATGTAAGCCTGTACACACCCCTGTACACGCCCCATGTACTACTACTAGGATGGTGAGTACTACTAATAAACAGGATATAACAGAACTACCAGTGAAAAGAAACAGTAGAACAAAGGATATTTGGTGGGATAAAGCCAAGAAAAACACTAATAATACACAAACACATCCTGAATGCGCTTATCTAAAAAAAAGCAAGTGGAGGCAGCCCTACGCAGCTGCAAACTACTCAATCAGATAAAACAGAAGCATCAACTTTATTTTGATAGTACTATCAATGCCCATGATGTTCTTGAGAGATTAGCGTATTTGCATTACTTATATCGTGTGTGTGTATAACAGGGGCTGTCCGTCAAAAATATTCATCTTGACTCTTGCCATTGAAGACTCCTGAGGACTGATTCATTTCAAGTGCTTTAATTATGCAGCCTGAATATACTTATTCACACAACACATTATTAGGCCATTTTGTTATCTTTGTGTAATTTATCTTAATATTCCATTCACCTTATCTTTCTACTTGTTTGCCGTCAACTTTTGAGTTATTAATATCCCTGCTAGGCAAAATATAGTACAGTATAAGTTTATCAAATAAACTACTATAAATTATGTTGTGATATGGTTAATGGTTTTGTAGAATAACCAACTGGTAACCAATAAGAGAAGGAAGCGGTAATAATGATTAAGGTCCTACACATAATATATTATTTTTTATTAGCTATTCACACTATATAATTGTAGTGTATGTATTATTAGCTAATAAAATGGATCAAACCTTAATTTTAGCATTTCAAAATATAGTAATACTAAATAGTGGAAGCACAATACATAAGGTATGGTATAATTTTAATGTACTGTATTATATTTTAAAATTAAAATTTCTTTCACATCAAAAACAAAAATCTCCAAATTATATGTTATATTCTATTTAAACCTATATCTCAACGTAAAATTTATTAGTGAGAGTGGAATTGTTCGTCATGAAGAAAAATCCTGGTAACTTTAGAGGATTTGAACACAAAGATCTGAGATTGGAAGGAGGGTGTCTTAACCACAATTCTATTACTCCACCACAGATTTGTTATACATGCTATGGATTGAAATGTACATTTATAAATAATTATGAATAATAACCATTTCTTTCTGTCATTATTGTTGTTAATGAGAGACAGTGGATTAACAGCATAAGTCATCTACCTTGCAGTAATCTATGTTACTGAGTGAAAAGCAAAATTGAAGAAAATAGTACTTTGACCAAGCAATTAAGCAATCACAGTAAACATATTAAGTAGCCAGCTCAGAAAGCATCATTTCATTTTAATACTTATTGGTTTTTAATTAAACATTCGATTTTTTTTTACACATGCTCACCATTCTGTGACTGGCTTTTGATATAGTGAAAAATCACCATATTCTGCATTTTTATGTGTTTCTGTGGATTTCTAGAATGCTGTGTCATTGCCATGGAAACAGGTCACTGCAGATAATAGTTTTAAGTGGTTCCAAAGGTAAAGTGGATATTCCAAGCAATAATGTGTAGCTCATCCAAATAAGATTGTTGTACCTCCTAAGTATGCTGTGATATTCTTATGTCTATTTAAAAAAAAAAAATAGCACAATGGGCCTGCAGTATGGGGTTCGGCTTAAGAGTGCATATTTTCTGGCTCAAGCCAGTTATTGCCGATTTTTGTGTATGTTCTTGGGCAAGACCTTTCATTTAAGCGCCACCACATATATTGTTGCTAAGATCCCACAAAATTACAGTGTAAAAACATACACAAACATGTGTGTTTGTAGGACAATACAAGTGTATATGAGACATGCATATCCCTGGGATCTGTTCTGATTGGTTAGCTGTTTTAAACTTGATTGACACTTCGAAAAAAGGACCATCTAAATAATGGATTTGCCCACAGAGTACTATTCAAATCACTTCATGCCTACAGTATGTTTGTGAACATGTTTCTTAGGTGTTTAATATTATGTTTAATGAAGTAATTTCCATTTTTGTATTAATAGAGAGTACAGTAATATTTGGTATTGATAATCCTAAATTTGGAAATCAATCATTATAAATGCAAATACGGTACACAGAAAAGATAAATTATTTAATGCTGAGCCAGCATAAAAATATAATGGTAGACCTTCAAACAGCTGTAGTAAGATTTTTATGGAAAACAATAAAAGTATTTTTTTATCAAGTGTTTTAAATACTACTAATAACAGTAAAATTTCATCAGAGTTATTAAACAAGTTTGGTGTAGTGAGTGAACAATAAAATATTGCTGGAATACCAACCACACTGAAATGTAGATTAAGCAGGAAGCCTAAATTTGCATATATAATTTCAGTTTTGGTTTTCATAATACTATAGTGTCAATTAACTGGAAAATTTTCCACCAGTAATAAAGTGTTTAATGGTACTGTAATTTCATGAAAACTATGGGTTGCTATAGTGTGGTTTAATTTAGAAAAATTACTATGGATTACTGTACATTCTTATTGATATTCTAAACATTGATTGTCAGAAGAGAAAAGACCACATGTTAGCTACTTAGTAGAAGAATAGAAGGCTTTTTATAAATATAATTTTCTTCTACATTGTCAATATTATAAGCAACAGAAGTGGTCTACAAAAATTAATAGATAACTTTGAAATTCACACACTTTTTCCTCTAAAAATATTTTCAGAGGCTTTCTATTTTTCAGGTTTTATTTTTTAAAAGCAAGGCTTGTGTATGCTATTTATACTTTCTCCTTTGCATAGTTGTTTTGGTAAACAAATTTTTGTAAGAGAAAATTTCAAATTCAAAGCCAGGTTCCCGAGGAAAAAACATTTTTTGATATGTTGTACAACTGATTTTTCTAAGAAACAACACCATATTTGACGACAAACTCAGGAGCGGTTTAATGAGATACAGATTTTTGAATATTAAAAACTGGGGGAAAAAGGTGGAAAACAGGTTGGTTATGTCCCTTTTCATCAAATATGGTTGTGTTTCTTAGAAAAATTAGTTGTACATCATATCTACATTGTTTTTTCTCCTCCAAAGTCTAGCTTAAAAAAAAAAAAAAAAAAAAAAACATTTGCTGCAATATATATAAAGGCTTGCATCATATTATGTTTTTAGCATTTCAATTTTTTTGTGATCCACCATTGATGGTTATGTAAAGAACCATCTGTTATAAAAATCATGTATGTTTAAAAAAAAAATTGCTATATTTAATTTTTAACTTTTGTAAAATTCACTGTAATTTAGTCTTTTTATTTGTTTGTTGCTTATCTATTTTTATGTATTTTCTTGTTATGCATTTTAGGGTGAAACATTGACCTGCATTTCAAAAACTAGCTGAATAGCATCAGTGTTTTTTTTTTAATTTTTTTTTTTAAAGATGATATTATTATTATAACTATCATTATCACTTTATTTTGGTTTCTTTTATGTGAAAAAACAAAGAGCACAATCTTTTTTATTCATTATTTGGCAAAAATGCTTAAGCACATTTTACAATCTTACCTTCCCTTCCAAATTTAACTGTTGCATATCTTGATCACTATTGCCAATTCCTATGAAAGCACACACCTGCGCCCCTGCTTCTGTCTCACCGTCTGACAACATTTGTTCCCTTTTCTTTTTCCAGCCAGGACCAAGGAGGTATATTGATGGAGGAGGACAGAAAAACCTTTAATGAAATAAGCAAAAATTATTTGTACAAATGTGGTATTATTTTATTTTATTGCAGAGCAGATAATCAACATTATAGAATTTGTATATCTAATAAAGCATCTATATGTATTAGTATTTAAAGAACATTATGTATTCAGTAAATTATTTTCAAAGAATATTTATTGTGTAATGTCTCTTGTATATATTATTCTAAAATTATAAATACATAAAAATTGATTAAAATATTATTTTTACTTGTTTATTTACTTATATTTAATTCAATTTACAGGTAACAACACAGCAAAAATGTTACAATGAGAATACAATTACCCTTAGGTTTACCATGAGGGCAAGCACTATCAGAGCAGCTCTCAATATTACGTCTTTATACACTAAACAATAAAGCTATCCCAAGGTTTAATACAAAAAAGAAATGCCAAAACTTTACCATAAAATACAGTTTATAACAAATACAATAAAATATTTTAAAATCTTCAACAATATAACATACATTATTTAATTACTCATGTATCAACCAAGTACAGTAATAACTAAAAATGAAAAGATTACCAAAATAATCTGTCTGCTGAAATTGTAACAAAATTATTTCAAATTAACATATTTGCCTGTGTTTTATTTTAATTACTAATTATTATTTGCTATTATAGTTTCATTTATTACGTACTTATTTATTATTAAAAAAATTTTTTTTTTTTTTGTAATTTTATATATAATATTTTAAAATGTGTTATAGGCAGTCTAAGAAAAGTTGTGCTATATTTTTGGTGCCGTTTTCATTATTGATTATGATTTCAGTTTTTTGAGAATAAGGAATACATTTTTATTCTGATTGCCTGATTGGTTGAATATTCCTAAACTTTTTCCTGTTTGATAATTTACATTTTCATTTTTGGTGTAAACACCAAGGATAACACTCTTCTGGTGGTTATAAAAATTGAAGAATCACATAAACAATTATTAAAAAATTATTTAGCTCTTTTCACAAGTGTTTATACACACCGTCTAAATGGTAGTAATCCATCGTCGGGCCTGGTAGGGCTACTGCCTAATGCTGTAGGTGATGGACTGGGGGCAGGACTTGGAAGCGTAGGCACTGAAGTGGCAGTCATAGATGTAATAGTGATGGGGCTGGCTGTGGCCTGTGATATCATATCCGTACTAAACAGCTTATCAGCAGCTGAGCTGTGTGTATTGTGCAGGACATGTGATGCATCTGTTTAAAAAAAAAAAATAAAAGGTAAAAAAGTTTGACATTAATAAAACTTTACGAGTCTCTTAATAAACATCTTCTAAGTGTTCTACCAGAGCTACGTAGATAACCAGAACCCTGCAGGCAATATGAGGTTGGGTGGATTTTGTGTTGTGGTGGTTAACCTTGAAAAGTTAATTCTTTGCATTTGAATATTGGGAAAATGAATACTATACTTACACATCAGGTATAGGCCTAAATAAATGCTTCGCTGAAAAAAATGCAATACTGTAGTTCAACACAACTGGAGATAAGAAACCAATATTTCTCCAGCTGGCATGTTGCTACTTAAATATAGAACACAAAATTTAAGCACTAGCACCACAGGGAAATTTGAAATACCAGCACTAGAATATATTCAAACATTCTTGTTTGTAATAATTGAAAGAACAAACAAATACCGTAATAAATAATGCAGTACTGGTGAAGCTAGAGTTTGAATATTATAATAGTATTTATTCAATCACATTGTCATAGTATAAATTTACTTTATTGGTAATTTTATACAGATGTTTTTCATTGCGACACAACGTTCATATATTGAATATTTTATATTATCTCATTGATTAAATTTCATTTATTCATTCTAATACATACAGTATATAGACACAGTAAGACATACTTGGCTGAAATTACCTATACTGTACAAAGTGTAAAAATTGAAACCTTTTACCAAATAAATATATTATTTTTCTCTATTAACAAAAGGAAAATTATCAAAATATAAAAATATTAACACTTAACTAAAACAAAATGAAATTAGTATTTAAGTTTCTTCTATTAAAAATATGCATATAGTATGAACTAACTTAACCTTACTTAAACAAATCCAACTCATTTAATTTCATAACAGTTCAATTTATAATTTATAAATTAATTTTATATGACAACCACCTAGATGTGTAAACCCCTTTCTGCGATGTTTATCCCCCTTAGATCTTAATTGTCTCAGGGTTACCTAGATTCTATAGCACTGAAAACTGTTAATATTTTGTTATACAGTAGTTATAATTATATTATTCTGCCAAAAAAGAAAAAAATGAAACAACAAAGGAACTAGAGTATCATTGAATGATATTAACATTGTAAATAGTAATACAGGTGCGGTTCTTGTTCAAATATATGCAGTGAGGTTGATAAAACATTTGGGAATCTATCACAGCACTTACTTACACTCGGGCTACTTAACTCCATAGTAACTGTTGAGGAACTGTTCCAACTCAACACAAACCCATGTAAAGAACAAATAATCGAGGGATTAGCGTTCCCACAGTCAGCAAGTCAAGTTCCGTCGCCATAGCAACTTTCAGCCTACACCGTCAAGTATCAATTGAATCACAGAACAAAAGGCTAAAGTTGGAAGTTCCCATGTGTCAATATCTCCGTTCCCAGACTTTTCCAATTCATTTTCTCAGCAACTTGTTACATTCATAACGATTCCTGATTAGTTTTTTTTTCCCGCAAATTTAGAGAACAAGATTAATATGTGTGAATTATTATGGTTCACAGTATTATGCTTTGTTATGCTGGGAAAAAAAATGAATCTGTGTTTCAAATTTATTTATTACAAAAATTGTCGGGACAGTTGGAAGGATATTTCTATTCAATAATCTAAAAAGAATAATAAGCCTACTGTACTATGGATGGCACTAGAGATCTCAGACACTGGATTAGCATATTGAAATGTATGCTATAGAGAAACAAAATTTAATGATCAATATACGCTACTAAATTTTATAACTCAGAATTCTAAGGGATCTTTAATTAAAAAACTCCTATACCTGTAGGCCTCTATAAATAATGTATGTTTAAATTGTAAGGTGACGGGGTAGTTCCGGTGGATGAAGTTGGCAGGGGTTCCAAGTTGGTAGAATCCACATCCGGGAGATCTGTTTAAAAGAGACATCTAATTATATGTTGCTCTGGATGGTGATACCCATTGGCACTGACTTCTAGGTGACAATTAATAATTACAAATTGGTAAAACTTACAAAAAGCTTTAGTGTAAAACATACTTATATTGTGAATTTGCAGGAGATGGCAATTCATGGAGGCCTCCCCGATTTCCCGAAGACTCCTACAACTTGCTGGGCCCTACTGTAGGTGGAGTGTTGGCAAGGGCACTAAGATGTTTAATTCAGGCCTACTACTGTACTATGTCTAAGACTACAGTGATGGAGGACAGCTAAAAAAAAAAAAAATTATAATTCTGGAACGCATATGCATACAGTTTGTTGGCCTATACTGTTTTCTCGCAAGGCATAGAGGCATGTTCAACATAATACATACCACAGTACATGTTGGTCAGATTAGATGAATGGCCTTAAGAATTACTTTTACCAGAGGTGAATTCAAAAATCTAATAATCAAAAGCCTACCAAAACCGAGGTCTACAGTCACAACAAGAATAAACAAAGAAATTTTGATATCTAATGATTTAAACAGTTATGATAATTTCACAGGGGTTTCAAATAGAAAAGACCACCTCGAGGAGATCTGGATAGATGAACTTTCTCAACACAACTAACTTTAATTTGCAGTGCATGATGATACCAATTATTACCAGTTGACAACTGAAAGGTAAGGCGAGACATTTTTAATACCTTGTTTCGTGCAACTTATTGTTTTAAAGATCGTCAGAGTAGGATGAAAAAAAAACAAAAAAAAAGTAATTTTTTTGTTCTTATTTAGCAAATAAAGTTTTTCCAAAAACTTCCAGACGGAGGAGAAAATAAAATGTAAAGTTTTACTGTTGAATGTAAACAGCATAGTAAAGGGATAGTTAAATGCCTTTAATTTACATAATTAGGAAGAAATATACATATCAAGATTTTAAGGCAGCAGCAAACGTAATAAACATTTTTTTTTAATTTTAATTTTTTTCTGAAATTTCAATTTTTTTTGTAGCGAGTACTCTGGCTAAAAATAAAATTTTATTGTTATTCGAAATCAGCATCATTGGCTGGCAGTTGGTTCACTAAACAAGGTATAAAAAAGTTCTGTCTAATTGATAATACAAATTAAAAAACATGCAAACATACAATGAACTTGAAGGAGATAGTTTTTTAAGACTTTTGCTTTCGTGTGGGAATGTGGGATGCTGTCTTGATTTCTGGTGCCAGATAAAAAACTTGTATAATGGTGGTGGTAATGGGTTTAAATTAAAAGTTTCAAACCGAGTTTACTCCCTGAAAATACATCTAAAATCTCAGAACCAGCTGCAGAATTGTAACTCAAATGAACATGAAAAAAAATTTATAATAAATGTTAATGAACCCTAAATTAAAGGCTATATATAAAAAAAAAAGACAAAAAAACTAATTACATATTGTTCAACTCAAGGAATGGTTTCATAAAATAATAATTTAGGAAATCAATTTTAATTTCATCAAGTACTTGTTTGTTATATTTTCAAATGTATGAATCATTGTAATGAAAGTTTCCACCTAAGAGACCATAAATGCGCCAGGGTCCCTTTGTTAGAGGACAGCAAAGGGGAAGGAGCATACGGAACTGTGGTTCCAATCCAAATATTATTATTAACCTATTAAACCCATCACAAAATTACGACAAGGCCCCTTAATTGCATAATTGAATCAAACATATTTTTGGCATTTAATCAAAATTTTTCAATATTTATCATCACTATAAAGGAAACTGCTGATATGCGTGAGAAAAGAGCCTTCAGCGGTGAAAGTGCTAAGTGTTGCATGAGAATTAATTATGCACTAATTCTGACATTTAAAAGATTGTACAATTGTTATTCATTTTCATTTTTTATTATATCATTGACTATTCTCTTCTACCATCATATAACATCATAACTGATATTCATTTTAAAATTTTGTTACGTGACTGGCATAGTTACTGTAATAATATCACTTATTTTAATACTAGCATGTGAAAAGAACATAACCATTTTTTTCTCAATAGAAATGCATATTTTGACTCATATCTCACAAACATAAATAAGTCAGTTATTCCTTTTGTCACAGTGGGGAGCAATATTAATAATTCAACACAAAACTTTTATTTTCATACAGTAAAAACTATAGAAATTCCAATCTATTCAATTAACAGCTAATGACTGAGCCTTATTTGCATACTTGTGTCTTACTTCCATTTACAATTTTTGTTTATTAGTACAATTTTGCCCTGGTTCAGTGTTTGTATTTTTTTTTGCCAATTTCAGGCTCAAAAATTAAATTTGGTTCCTATATTTACCAAACTTATTATCTACAGCAGCATATTACTGTACTCTATTGCAGAGGGTTTTACATAGTCGCACCTAATGCAAATAAGATATTGGTTGGTGTTTCTATTTAAAAAAAATAAAAACCTCATTTGACATTTTATCTCAGCCATAAATTGTTCTTATTTGCTCTTAATTTGTAAGCAATTTCAGCCTCTTTGTTCTTATAAAAAAAAATTGTAATAATTTTAATTGTACATGTTTTTCTTTTTAATCACAACTGATTTTCTTGTCCCATTGTATTAGAATAACTTACTGTATTTCTTAAGATTTACATCCTCCTGTTTTTAGGCATTGTACTCAAATTCACCTTTTTATACTAAATATTAGTTTCAATACCATCAGTTGTTTGGTTTCAATCTTAGGTCTATTCATCTTTTTATTCATTTAGTGAATGTTATACTTACTATACTATTTTTTTGTGTTCTACTAGTACAGTAATATTACTATCATTAAGCCACTCAGAATAAAGAAATTATTTATATAATAAGTAAAGTGAAAGGAAATAAGAGTAATATTTATTGAACAACAATTTATTTGGCAAATAAAGTAAAATAGGCCTTATCTGTATAGTAGCAAAATATTACTAACATAAATCATTTCATATAGTATACAAAAAGAGCTTTTTAAAAAACAAATGGAAATTTTACAATATATTTCGCGAATGTCAACAATAACAGCATTAATTGCTGGCCAAATATATTCATTGTAC